TGGGTATTTCTTTTCTTCCTACAGCCTGCAGTGTTTCTTCTTCCTGTTTCCTTCTTGTACTTTGATAGCGCGTCGCTCCTCTCCCGCCGGCTGCTGCTCACGGGTCCTCTCCCACCGGCCGCCGCTCGCATGTCCTCTCTCGCCCGGCTCCTCGGCTCCTCGGCTCCTCTCCCCGGCTGCTGCTCGCGGGTCCTCTCCCGCTCGGGTCCTTGACTCCTCGGCTCTGCGCGCCGCCATCGGCCGTCGCCCCACTCCACATAGGGCTGGGACTTGGGCCGTGCCGGGCTAGCACGGCACGGCCCAGCGTGCTTCGTGCCAAATCGGGCCGTGCCGGCCCGGCACGGTCCACTCATCGTGCCGTGCCGTGCCAGCACGGCCTCTTTAGGGACGCGGCCCAAGCACGGCCCAATAGCCCGATGGGCCTATTCGTGCCGGGCCGGCACAAGCACGGCCCAAAATACAGGACAATATATGTGTGTACTGTATGTGTACTGTGTACTACTAATTGCAGTCATCCATCGGTAGCTAGCAGGTAGCATGGACGGAAATTTGAAAAAAAGGAGCCTGTAATACGAAAAAGAGGAGGGAAATTTTGGAGGGAATCTGAAAAGATGAGGGAAATTTTTTGGGGATAAAGTAGGGAAACGATATGGCCACACTCTTTTTTTCCAGTTGGCTCTGCAATACTTGATTTACCTCATCTAAAAATATGCACTGTATTTTTTCTCACATCGACTATAAATAACTTGAGACGTAAAAATTGGAGGAAAACAAATTTATTTCATAATAGAGATACAAAGTTGTTGCCTCATTAAAAACCTTACGCCCTAGAGTAGGGTTCCCCCAATAAGGAAAAGAGTACAACAACTTGCTTACATTATTATAAATTACATTACTAATTTTGATTGGCACCGCCGCCATCAGTGGTGATGCCAAATTCCGCCAACGCTTCTGCTGCTGCTTGAATAATCTCTGGATCCTCTAGCCGGTGTTGCGTCCTTGCATCTGTTTCAATCCAGTCTTTAAGGCAAAAGATTGCCTCAACTGTGTCAGGTGCAAGACAAGACGCGAAGCGGGAGGAGGCGCCGAGCGTGCGCGACGACAGAGGCGCGGGTCACGGGCGCGACGTCGAGTCGAAGACGAAGGACGAAGTAGCGCCGCTCAGCCTTTCTCCGATGCGAGTGCGCCCTAGCGGCCAGATGGGCCATCGGACCGTCATCGTGCTTACGGGCCATCAGGCCGTCATCGTGTTTACGGGCCATCGGGCCATCATCGTGCCGTGCCGGCCCAAGCACGGCCCACTGGTCATGCCGTGCCGTGCCGCCCGTCGTGCTCGTTGTGTAGGCCCAGGCACGGCCCATGTACGGGCCATGCCGGCCCGGCCCATTTACGGGCTGTGTCGGACCGTGCTTTCTACCGTGCCGGGCCGTCGTGCCTTGGGCCGACTTGATAAAGCACGGCCCAAGTCCCAGCTCTAACTCCACATCGTAGGGAAGAAGAGAAAGGATAGCAGGAGGAACGGAGGAGTGAGGATGACATGTGGGACCCACGTGGGTCCCACTATCTTTTATTATTTTGTGTATGAAACTAACATGTGGGTTCCATGAGTTTTATTATTATTTTTGAATCAAATTGCCACGTAAACGCCACGTCAATGCCACGTCAGATGAAGACCGAGTCAAACTAGCCACATAAACGCCACATCAACCAAAACCGCCAAGGGACCTTTTCTGCACCGGTTTTGATAGTTGAGGAACCTGTTGTATCTAGTTTTTCAGTTGAAGGATAAAATTCGGATTCCTTAACAAGTTAAGGGACCTCAGATGAACTTATTCCTAGCACGGCTTGCAACTTCGCAAGCAGCAGCACCCAGACCGAGGCCCATGCTCGCTCGCTGACTGAAATACGGACCGGCAGACGGCTTGAAAAAAAGAGAAATTTTACAGCACTTGGAAAGGTATCTTGAGTTACCTAAATTTTATACTAAATTTAGGCACTTAGTATCTAGAGTTATCAAATTTTATACTAGATAATATGATACCTTTAGTTACCTTTTTAAGGATGGTAAAATTACCTTTAAAAAAACTGTATCAGAAATGGCTTGACAGATGAAAAAAAAAGGTATAAATAAGGTGAGTACAAAATCACCTTTAGTTTTTATAATATATAAAGAGGTATAGATATAGCTATAGATTAAGAGGTGTAATTCTTTTGAAAACTCTTGTCTGAAACATGTAATACGTATAAGTACAACACATCTTTAAATTTTGGTTTTAGATATTTGTCCTTGTAATAGATTCTATATTTTCTACAAACTAATTTTCAGTCAGGAATATCTGCTAGCTTGACTTAATTCGATCCTGCTCTCCTTGAAAAGGACTGCTGCTCACTGGTCTCTAATGCGACAACTACAACTGGCAACCATGTCTCAATTTTATAGTGCCGTTGAAGACCATCTGCCGTCAATTTTTTAGTTTTTAGTTCATCTGTAAAAATTTTCAATGTTATCTTGAGATAATGGTTTCACTAACTATACAATCAATAGCTCCGAAGAAAGTAACAATACAAAAGGTCAAGTAACTATATATAGTTTTCCACAATAGTAAGCTGCCTACAACGTCGATCGACAAATTGAATTACAGATAGAGTTTATAAAACAATGTCTATAATGACATTATAATAGTTGATGAACATAGAATGTTCTCTTCATGCAGACGATGTTGACATCACCGGACCTAAATATTGTGAACAACAGGCTGAGACCTTCTAGAGGTATAAAGATTCATAGGAACGTATCATATATATGCACACAAATATTCATGTGTACACACCATGCACACAAACTAATAAATATCACTAAGAGTTTTAGAAAAAAATATACATGTACTTTTAATAGTATTATATCTACATGTAAAGTTCTATCTTCAAATATTCAGCATACCTACGTGCAAAGTCCCATCTTCAAATTCATCGTAATAGAGAGAGAAGAAACAAAATTCTGATAGACTATGATTTTACAACTGTCAGATTTTTTTTTGTTACGACTAAAGTATATTGAATTTGGAGTAAATTATATCTACGGTGCATCAACTTGGCAGGTGGGTGTAATTTGGTGCAATAACTTGAGAAATAAGCGTTCTAGTGCAATAACTTGGCAGATAGGTGCAATTTAGTATAGAACTGTATAAGTGATCGTATAAATGCAAGAACTTGCATGGTAGGTACGATCTTGATATAATAAAATAAAAAGTTATGCGACATCTTAATTATTTGGAGTATTTTTTATATATAAATTCAATTTTTAAGTACTTATTTTTTAAGTATATTTATATTTTTATCCTATAACTAATAACTGAAAGTTAGTTAAACTGGATGTAGAAATTATTATATTTCGGTTAATATTTGAGAAGGTGGAGAAAATATTCTTAAAGGTAATTGGATGTAAATTGTACTAGTATGTGCAGTATAATTCTTAACGATTAAATTCAATATTATAAGGTAATATTCGTATGATTACTTTGTAATGGTATGTTGACATCGTGAAAAAAAAAACTCACCTAGCATATGCTTAGCCAAATTGATGCACAAAAATACTAAATTGTTAAGTTTTTTACTAGAACGCACCCACTTGTCAAGTTGTTGCACTGGAACGTTCAATTCATAAATTCTTACACTATATCGCACCCACCTGTCAAGTTGTTGTACCGTGATTGCAATTTACTCTTGAATTTGAGATTAAGATTTTACACGTAGGTGTAATACTATTGAAAGTATGTGCATGATTTTTTCTAGAATTTTGGTGATATTTGTTAGTTAGTGTGTATGAATTGTGCACGCGAAACTTGTGTTCGATCACAAGATATATTCCCCAAGATCCACTAGGTGCGGAGATCAGCTAATAATGTTCCTTATTGTGTAACCAAGGAATGCCGTTCTACTAGTGAAAACTCTTGATTCCACTGGATTCATTATTAATTTCTTTGTTGGAGGAGGATTTGTAATTCTGGTAGTTCAGTTGAGCAGTAACAGGGAGGTTTTCCATAAAAAAAATATGGTGACATCATCCCTCTGTATATGCCTTTTAAATTTTCTATATTCAGTTTATGTACAGTCAATAATTAACTTACCAACTTCATGTTGAATTTATATATGTTTAAATTAATATTAGACTGTGTACACAAACATCAATCCAACCGGACCTAAAAATCATGTCTTGGGTGTGAAGATAATATTATCACCGTTGGTTCATATATAATTGTAACAATAGTACAGCATCTCTGTTTTTTTTTTAAAAAAAAAAATCTTTAGCCTTGCATACACACTAACGAAAATGATGAAGTACATTTTTATGGAAGCTGTAGCTATTGAAGAAGAGTTCAACTTTGTAGCTGACATTATGTTTTGAAGTCATATAGATGCCTAATATTTTTCAAATTTATCAGATAAGAAAGGGTAGTCAAAATGAAAAACACCGAAGTATGTCCCGGGTTTGTGTCCTACCTACCACACGCTTGTGGACTGGCTATTGCATATGATTTTTTCTTTGGGAATCACAATATCAATTATAATTATTCTGAACTACATAAAGTTTTAGCTCGCGATGCCACGTAATGTAAGTTTGAAAAGAGTTTCAACATTCGTATAACTTGCATAATTAATGGATATTTTACAACCCATTTCTTATATATGTGTACTATATATTCATAAAAAGGTCAATGCCATTATAGATCCAAACAACTCACTAAATTGTACAAACATGGTAATTAAGTTTTGGACATTAAAACTCCAGTTAAACCAAACAATGGGGATTATGAAATGGGCTTCCCTACTAAATGACAACAAGTTCTATGAGAAGTTGTATGTTAAACTCCCTACCTTGACTGGAGTTGTAGATTGACGGCAGAATTATTTTCAAGTCTTCCTTTTTGAATTGTGTGTTAGACTATTTAACTACACACCATAAGAAAATGAGACTATTGTGCACTTGGACAGGCCTATATATGTGAACCCTTTCTCTGCAATTTCACTGACAAGCAATGTATAATTAGTTACACCAACATATCAGTGCAGACATCCTGTTGGTAAGTGATTAAACAGTTCAATTCATTTTTCTTTTATCTCTTTTTTGTTGTTCTAGCTGTACTAAATATGATGTTCTTTCCTTTGTGATCTTACTTTGTATTGTGCATCATTCCAGGTTTTTCAAAATTTTTATTGCCACATCATAAATTTATCATGAGCACCAGCCTGCAGTACCTTTCTGGAACCTTGCTTGTAGTATGCACTGCGTTATTCCTGCTAAATGATACTACAAAATCTCAATCAGCTGCCCACAGCAATTATACAGACCATGATGCCCTTCTCATTTTCAAATCTCTCATCACTGATGACCCCATGGCTGCACTATCATCCTGGAACCAAGGCTCCTCTGTGTGTTCTTGGGCTGGTGTGCGCTGCAATCGCCAAGGTAGAGTCTCCATGCTCGATGTACAAAATCTCAATTTGGCTGGACAAATAAGCCCTGACATAGGTAACCTCTCAGCCCTCCAATCCATCTATCTACAAAAAAATAGGTTCATTGGCAATATCCCTGATCAGCTTGGCAGGCTTTCCCTGCTAGAGACACTAAATGGAAGCTCCAACCATTTTAGTGGGTCCATTCCTTCAGGTCTAACCAATTGTACCCACCTTGTGACTATGGATTTATCAGCAAATAGCATCACGGGTATGATACCTATTAGCTTGCACTCTCTGCAAAATCTTAAGATACTAAAACTTGGACAGAACCAGTTGACTGGTGCAATCCCACCATCTCTTGGTAACATGTCACTTTTAACCACCCTTGATGCTAGTACAAACACTATTGCTGGAGAAATTCCTGAAGAATTAGGTCACCTTCGCCATCTCCAGTACTTTGATCTCTCCATAAACAACCTCACAGGCACAGTTCCAAGACAGCTTTACAACATCTCCAACCTAGCCTTTTTCGCAGTGGCGATGAACAAGTTACACGGGGAGATACCCAATGATATTAGTCTAGGGCTACCCAAACTCCACATTTTCATTGTTTGCTACAACAAGCTTACCGGGCAGATCCCGCCATCTCTCCACAACATAACTAAGATCCATAGCATAAGGATATCACACAATTTCCTCACTGGCAAGGTCCCTCCAGGCCTCCAACGTCTTTCCAAGCTTGTTTGGTACAATATAGGGTTTAACCAAATTGTTCACACCACAAGCATATTGGACGATCTCACAAACAGTACTAAACTCGAGTACCTTGGTATCTATGAGAACCAAATTGTGGGTAAGATCCCTGATTCAATCGGTAATCTATCAAGTTCTCTTGAAAATCTATACATTGGTGGCAATAGGATCACTGGACACATACCACCAATGATTGGGCGATTAACTAGATTAACATTGCTAAACATGACTGATAACCTACTAGATGGAGAAATCCCATTGGAGATCAGTTATCTCAAGGATCTAAATGTGCTTGGGCTATCAGGAAACAACTTATCTGGGCCGATTCCCACACAATTCGGAAATCTTACTGCACTGACAATGCTTGACATAAGCAAGAATAGACTAGTGAGTAGCATTCCAAAGGAGTTGGGCCACCTGAGCCACATACTTTCTCTGGACTTCTCATGTAACAAGCTCAATGGGAGTATCCCTGACACAATTTTTAGCCTTACCAGCCTTAGCTCTATACTAAATATGTCATACAATGCACTTACCGGTGTTATACCAGAGAGCATCGGTCGACTAGGGAACATCGTTTCCATCGATTTATCCTACAATTTGCTAGATGGCAGTATCCCTACATCAGTTGGTAAGTGCCAAAGCGTTCAGTCTTTGTCCGTGTGTGGCAATGCAATCTCTGGAGTAATTCCTAGAGAAATCGAGAATCTTAAGGGCTTGCAAATATTAGACCTCTCCAACAATCAATTGGTTGGTGGTATACCAGAAGGCCTTGAAAAGCTGCAAGCTCTTCAGAAGCTGAACCTCTCCTTCAACAATTTGAAGGGTCTGGTGCCAAGTGGCGGTATCTTTAAGAACAACTCTGCTGCTGACATCCATGGTAACAGAGAGTTATATAACATGGAGTCAACAGTATTCCGATCATATTCCAAACACCATCGTAAGCTAGTGGTTGTATTAGCAGTTCCAATAGCATCAACAGTCATTTTACTTATCTTTGTGGGTGTCATGTTCATGTTATGGAAATCAAAATACCTGCGGATTGATGCCACAAAGGTTGGAACCGCAGTTGATGATTCGATACTCAAGAGAAAACTCTACCCACTTATTTCTTATGAAGAACTATACCATGCAACTGAAAACTTTAATGAAAGGAACCTTGTTGGTATTGGTTCATTCAGCTCTGTGTACAAGGCTGTCTTGCATGCCACTAGTCCCTTTGCTGTCAAAGTGCTAGATCTTAACAAGATTGGTGCAACCAATAGCTGGGTTGCAGAGTGCGAGATTCTAAGCACTATACGACATCGGAACCTAGTAAAGCTGGTGACACTATGCTCAAGTATAGACTTCAGTGGAAATGAATTCCGTGCATTGGTGTACGAGTTTATGACAAATGGAAGCCTTGAGGATTGGATCCATGGCCCAAGGCGGCATGAGGATAGCGAAAGAGGGCTCAGTGCAGTTGAAGTACTCTCTATCGCCATTGACATAGCAAGTGCCTTGGAGTACATGCATGATGGATCATGCAGGGCGGGTCAAGTTGTACATTGTGACATCAAGCCAAGCAATGTTCTACTTGATGGTGATATGACAGCCAAGATTGGTGACTTTGGGCTTGCAAGGTTGCACACACAAACATCTGCTAGAGACGAGGAATCTGTTTCTACCACTCACAATATGAAGGGTACCATAGGTTATATACCTCCAGGTGCAAGCTCTTCCTTTCTATACATGATGTCCCTCAATAACCTTTTATCCTTTTTTTATGTGAACTATGCTGGCTTATGCCAACCAGAACTTTATTACTTTGATAAACATTACTAAGGATCACATAATTTATATGGGGGAAGGTGGGAAAGAAAAAGAAATAACCTTTTATACTAAAAAAAATAATATCTTTCTTGGTGAAATTTTATGGTCTTCGAGGTGGTATCAAGAGGTACTCTCTTAGTCCGAAAATAAGTTGATTCCTACTTTCCGTAGAAAATTTAATAGTGAAGAGTTGAAAATGTCAAAGTACGTGTCCCTCATTGATAGAAAGATGGTATTGTAAGGTGATTAGTAAGGGGTACTAAAGTGAAAAAACTTATAAATTTATGCATAGTGGGTAGATAAGGGTAGAAATCGGCGTACTTTAGTTTAGACTAAATTTTTAACTACAGAAACAACTTATTTTTGAATGGATGGAATAGGATGTTTTGTAGTGTAAAACTTGGTATTTTTTGGTATAGATATCAAACTTTAAATTGAAAATTGTGGTATCTACCGATAAGTCCACCAGGGCTGTAAAATTTTTCTGTTTCTCATTAATTGAATTTTCTATTGTTTCGTCCAGAATACGGATATGGAGCCAAAACATCGACAAGTGGTGATGTCTACAGCTACGGGATAATGCTCCTTGAGATGATCACAGGAAAGAGTCCTGTAGATCAAATGTTTGGAGGAGAGATGAACCTGGAAAAATGGGTGCGAGCGTCAATTCCACACCAAGCTGATGAAGTTGTTGACAAGCGGTTTATGATGACAGGTTCTGAAGAATCCTCAGCTGATGGGCAGCAACAACAGCAGGTTGATACTGTGGACTCGAAACTGCTGTTGGAGACTCTTTTAGTTCCCATGGTGGATGTTGCATTATGTTGCGTTCGGGAGTCCCCTGACTCACGCATCAGTATGCACGATGCACTGTCTCGGCTGAAGCGGATCAATGAGAAAATTTTCAAGTCTCTCGCAGTGTCTACACCTTGATTTCTTGAAGAAGATGGTTTGCTGTGACGGCCAATTGGAGCATCATCTGAACTGTCTTTTTTACGTATAAAATTTGTTTTCAGTGCTGTAGTTCTAATTAATTAAGAATGGAGATGACAACACTGACCAAGAGCACATCTAGCTACTAAGGGTGTTTCAGTCTCAGTGGCACGGTCAATTTTTAAGTTATTGTACTCAAATGTAATTATGTAAATACTTACCGAGTTATTATACCCATGGGCTGAAAGTTTTGTAATAGTTAAATGAACACAGCTCCCAAATTCTTGTACCAATGGTGCAATTTTCTTTTTGAAAAAAAAAGAGAGAGAAGGAAATATATAAGAGTAGTTGTACCATACCATGGAAATAAAATAATTGACAGTTACTTTCTTGCAAACCTATGTGCTCTTCTTATCAGATGTCCAGATCTTTAATCTGTTTAGAAGTTGGTTCAATCCTTTGACCCACAAAATGCTTGGCAAAACCTGTTATCCAATTGTAATACCCTGTGCTTCAAATAAATACTTCCCTCATTTCATAATGTAAGACTTTCTAGTATTGGTCACATTCATATATATGTTAATGAATCTAGACACACTTATATATTTAGATTCATTAGCATATATTGTAAAATCAAAGGTGTTTTTGATTATTATTCTGTGATGAACAATTGGCATTTGAGATTATTGGTTTTGATATTTGGAATTTATTCACGAAGTGATTTTGGTGATGATTGGATTTGCAGGTGAATCGCAGGTTCTGTTATTTCATGTGACCGGTCAGACCAGGCTCTGGTAGCCGGTCAGACCGGCGTGTATCGCGCGGTCAGACCGGCCCAGCCCGCGGTCTGACCGGCCGACTCTGTGTCGGTTTCGGTTTCGGATATCCGTGATTATTTCATGATTATGGCTTCTAGATGGATACTATACGTATGTAATATTGTTGTTTGCTACTAATGAGTCAAGTTGGAGATAGTTTGGTCTCGGAATATGGTTTCTTTGTTTATTTCATGTGTAGGTGACTCGATGCCTCGGGAGAGTATTTACGGTGATGGACCGGGAGTCGGCTTGGGGATACGATGATGTCCGTGGTGGTCAGAGATCATGTGGGATACTTAGGCGAGAGTTGATGCACGTGGTTGATGGAGATTCTATATGGCATACAATGGAGGTATTGTGTGCGTATGGGATGCGGAGTCGAATTTGGAAGGAGTCCAAATTTGGTATGATTGATTATGTAAAGTTTGTTTCTTGTACTAGAGGGTTTCCTAAGGTGTTTAGGACTCCTAGTATGAGTTTGGTTCATGGCTTTAGGCTGCCTACATCAGGTATAAATAGAGGGGGAGCGTGAGGCTTCCCGATATCACTTTTTAGAGCAATTGAGTTGAGTTTTGAGTTAGGGTTTCGAGTTTAGTCGAAATTTTTGTAAGGAGTGCTGTTGGTGCACTTTGTAAAGTCGTCATCTACTTTAAGAGTTCTTCGATTTGTGTTTCACCGGGTTTCGGCAGTCTAACCGGTGATATACCGGCGGTCAGACCGACGGCAAGGCGATGGTCAGACCGGCAGGAGCGAGGCGGTCAGACCGGCGGCGGCAACAGGCTCGGCAGGCGACTTCGGCGGTCAGACCGGTTGATCTATACTGGTCAGACGGGCGGCATCCGAGCGGTCAGACCGACAGATCGATCTTGGTCAGACCGAACTCCGTCGATTTTGAGGGTAACTTTTATTTCCGTTAAAAGCTTTCGGTTTTTGGGTATACCAACCATTCACCCCTCTCTGGTTAGCTTAGTTATTGTGATTCGATCCTATATATATAAGAATATGGATAATGCTAGAAAAATTTACATTATGAAACAGCCGGAGGAAGTATACTTTGAATAGACAGTTAAAAAAGACGCGAAAGTTTTACTTTTAGCTCGGATATACCATCAGGAACTACTAGTGCTTAGAACTGGTCGACTAGTATTAAATAGATTACAAATTTGTGGTGATCGAATCCCGGAAAAATTCATGGTAATTGAATCTATTTGGGTTTTATTACAGCTTCTCTATTTAACCAGCAAAGTGAAAGAAAGAAAAGAAAAAGGGGAATGAGGGATCAGGTGGCTGCCAGCCAACGCTACTGCTCCGTTGCCGTCGCTAGCAGTGCAGGTGGGCTGATCCACCAATCCGCCTATCTATAATTTCTATAAAGGCTGTGTTTAGTTCACGCTAAAATTAGAAATTTAATTGAAATTGGAACGATGTGATGAAAAAGTTAAAAATTTATGTGTAGAAAAGTTTTGATGAGATGAAAAGGTTGAAAGTTTGAATAAAAAGTTTGGAACTAAACTCGGCCAAAGTTATAACCCAATAAATATAAATTTCAACATGCAACCATACTATATCATACTATATGATCACCTACTAGTAACAATTATATATTTAATCTCATACAAGCATACAACATCATCTACAATTTTTTTAATTCTACAAATCAACATGCAAGCATATTCAATCATCACCCCTCACATCATTTGCACAATATTATAATAAATTTATCTATCATTTTAATAATAATTAACATAGCTAACAATGTGTTTCACATTAAAGCACATGCATCATTTGTTTGTCATGATAAGCACTGATAAACCATAATATTTTTATTATTTTTTTCTTTTTTACTTCAGCAATACGCGCGGAATCACCTACTATACCAAATAAATGGGTCGGCTCACTTTGCATCCGTAGCTGTCGGTCCATCCGCCGCTGCTGGTCGTTTCCACCGACTGCTGCTTCTGCTGCTGCCCTGCCCCAGCCATTCTTTTTCTGTGCGGTGCTCTGCTTCTCGTGCTGCTGACCTGCTGCCGCTACTGTGATTTTGCTGTTGCAAGCTTGCAACAAACGAACACAGCCTGCGTTTAGTTCTCTTCAAACTTTTATTTTTTTCATCACATTAAATATTTAGACACAGGGAGAGGGCGCGGACGTGGAAGGGGCAGGCCTGGAGGTCGGTTCAATGGTCGCCATGATCATGGCCAAGGAGGTAGATGGCATGGTAATGCTGGTGGTTGTCATGGGTGGAATAATGGGTTCGGTTTGAATGCTGGACCGAGCGGTGGCAACTTCAATCCATCGCTAGGGTTTCAGCCGCAGTTTGGTTCTCTCGGTCAGTCTGTTGCGGGACAAGGGTTCTTTGGTGCGGCGCCAAGTGGTCCTCTAGCTTCCGCCCCTGTGGCCTTTCCTGTTCTGCCGGGTGCAGGAGCTGTGTTACCTGCTGCTAGTGTGGCGGCGGGGATTCCTCCCTTCCCGGTGGCTGGAGGAGACGTTGCACCTGGGGGTCCGGCGGTAACCATACCAGCCGCAGGTCTTCAAGCAGGAGGGCATGTTGCTGGTGGTTTAGTGGATGGAAAGGGTGCTGTTGTTGGTCCAACCGGTGGAACTAAGGCTGCAGCTAAGTTGGGCTCTGGTGGTGTGATGGCTAGTGGCGGCATGCAGGCTGTTGGTGCAAGTAGGGTTGGGGTTCGGCAGTTGATTCTGCTGGTACTGCCGGTTTTACCACTGCTGCTGTATTGGGTGGTTCTGATACTATTGGTTCTAATTCACAACAGGGAATTTGTCCTTTTGATGCAAACAGAGGTAAAACAAAGGTCGACAACAAAGGTACGGGCAAACCTTATTGTTATAGATGTTATACAAAAGGCCATACAATGCAGGAGTGTTCTTCTAAGTATTATTGTGAGGTCTGTGAAAGTGAGGATCATATTGCTTCTCGTTGTCCAATATTTAGATCTACTTTTAAACCTACTGCCCAGTTATGTGGTTATGCTGTGGATGGTTTGGGTTTCTTTCATATTCCTCTTTCAGCTGGACAGAGAATTAAACCTGAGCCAAAGGCGGCTTTAGTTAAGGTGAATAAAGGTCAGATGACAGTGAATTCTGTTATATCTGAGTTGGAGAGATTGATCCCTGGTAAATGGAATTGGGTGGTTCATGACAATGGTGATGGTACCTTCCGAGCCATTTTTCCTTCAGCTGCTGAATTGAGGCGTATGGTAGAATGGGGCAAAGTGCATACAAAAGTTGGTGATGCTGAAATGGAGATTGTGGAGAGAGGTGTGGGTAATGAGGTGAAATATGTTATTTCAAAGGTGTGGGTACAGTGCAAAGGGCTGCCTTCTGAGCTAAGAGAGTACTTGATCATCTGTGCTGTTGGTTCTTTATTGGGTATTACTAAAGCCGTTGATATGCTTTTTACTAGAAGATATGACATAGCTCGCCTACAAGTGTTGGTCCTTGATCCATCTTCGATTCCTGATGTGGTTGATGTGGTTATAGGGGACCACCTGTATGAGTTGTCATTTTGAGTGGAACCTAAAAATGGGCCTGAGGAACCTGCACCGATGGATATGGAAAGTACGGATGATGGAGATGTACAGGGAGAGAATGGGGCAAGTAAGAAGCAGGATATGGGGAAAGAATCTGGTTCTGGAGCTACTGGTAATACCTCTAAGATGGGTTCTGGGGTCTCTGGTAATACCTCTAAGATAGGTTCTGGTGATCAGTTTAGTGAGAAGGGTGGTACTTCTCTAGTTAATTCACAGTTAAGCCTGTTATCTAAGAACGATGGCCTGAATTTGTCTGATGAAGAGTTTGATGGATTGGAGGATGATGCTATATTGGTTGAGAAGTCCCAGACTCAGGAAAGCCTAGTGGCTAAATTATCTGCTATTCTTGAGGCAGTAATCTCTCCATCCAGGAAGAGCAAGAGAAGGGCAAGTGATAGTGATCAGATGGTTCTTGAGAGGGCTGAGAAACTGAAGGCTGAGAGGAACCTGGAGAATCTTCAGTCTAAAAGTAATGTACATGATAATGTTTCTTTTTTAGAATTTACAAATGATCAAATTTTTGATTCTCTCAAAAATCTTGGGGTGATTACTACTAGTTCGGACGTTTTGGATGATGTTATTAATGACTTAAAGTGTGTGGAGAAAAAAAGATTAAGTGAACATGTTGGTCTGTCTATTAATCAAGCTTCTACCTCAATTGGTGATAGTGAGTTGATAGATGACCATTTCGATGATAATTTTTTACTACAACATCTATGTAGTGAAATTATGGATTTTAGTGGTGACAATATTCAAACCACTTTGGATCCTATGGTATCTTCTTCTAATAATAAGAAAAAAGGTAAAAAGGGTAAAAATAAGAAGAATATTAAACTTTAGTTTAAATGAAGGGTATTTTTTGGAATTGTGGTGGGTTCAAGGACCCAAAAAAGCATAAGTTCGTGTTTGATTTAGTTAAGGAACATCAACTTGATTTTATTGCGTTGTCAGAGACCGTTAAGAAAGAGTTTACTCCGGCTACACTTAAAAATCTTTGTACTGGTAAGGAGTTTTTATGGCATTG